ACCGCTGAGGATGCCGCTTCCATGTACGCCGGCTACTTCTGGATGTTTGCCAACTGTTTCGCCAGTGCCGCTTTCGTCTTGACCATGAGAATCAGAATCAAGTTGACCAACTTCAAGGACTTCGACACCACCTACTACAACAACTTGTTGTCCATCCCCATTTTGCTCGTGGCCACTTTTCTCTTGGAGGACTGGTCCCCAGAGACTGTGAACAAGAACTTCCCACCTGAGACCAGAAACGCCACCATCACCGCCATGGTTCTTTCTGGTGCTTCTACTGTCGCCATTTCTTACTGTTCTGCCTGGTGTGTCAGAGTGACATCTTCCACCACTTACTCCATGGTCGGCGCTTTGAACAAATTGCCAATTGCATTGTCTGGTTTGGTTTTCTTTGACGCAGCTGTTAACTTCTGGTCTGTTTCTTCGATCTTTGTCGGCTTTGTGTCTGGTTTGGTGTACGCGGTTGCCAAGCAGAAGCAGCAGAAGGAAAGTGCTCAGCAATTGCCTACTACCTCCAAGTAAGGAGTGACAGAATACCTCGCATATTGATTTACAATTCATAGAACATTCCAAGCATTTCTGTAGATTAGATAAATTAATGAAATTTATAGTTTCGAGTAGCAGGTTGCGGCCTGCACAACCAGTGATGGACCTGTAGAAAAATCAAAATCAGAGATCCAGAGACTCACATAGAAAAAACCATCAACCCTTTTATTTACCCGCCACCACTATGGCCGAAAACAGTTTAGAAAATATCTCCGCTTACCTAAAAGAGTCACTTAATCCACATCATGCCAAACAGGCGGAATCGCATTTGAGATCAATTGAGTCTCAACCTCACTTCGCTATAAACTTGCTTCACACGGTTGCCTCCACCAACTTAGAACCTGCTGTGAGACTTGCAGCTGCTCTTTTCTTGAAAAATTTAGTCAAAAGAAAGTGGGTAAACGAAGATGGAGAGTATATGTTGTTTAATGACGACGTTCAATACGTGAAGCTGGAAATCTTGAACGTTATGATCAAGCTCCCTAACAATTTACAAGTCCAGTTAGGAGAAACTATATCGATCATTGCCGAGCTGGATTTCCCACACAATTGGGGAAATCTCATTGATGACCTTGTTGCGAAGTTGTCTCCAGAGGATTTTGTCTTGAACAGAGGTATCTTAATAGTGGCACATTCGATCTTCAAGAAATGGAGGCCTTTATTCAGATCCGACGAGTTGTTCTTGGAGATCAAGATGGTTTTGGACAAGTTCGCTGAACCGTTTATGGCTCTCTTGACCAAAACAGATGAGAACATCACAGAAGCCGTCGCTCTGAACAACTCCGCTTCCCTTATCATTTACTTGGAATGCTTGTTGTTGCTTGTACAGATCTACTATGACTTGAACTGTCAGGACATTCCCGAGTTCTTCGAGGATAACCTTAACACAGGTATGGGCATTCTTCATAAGTACTTGGGATTCCTGTCTAACTTGGTCGGTGATGCTAGCGACGATGAAGATGTTGACGTGTTGATCAAGGTGAAGACTGCTATCATTGAGTTGTTATCCCTACACGTCACCAGATATGCAGAGGAATTTGATCCCTTGATTCCAAATTTTATCACATCCGTTTGGGAACTCATCAACACCTACGTCACACAACAACCGAAGTTTGATCTTTTGGCAGTCAACGCATTGTCATTCTTGACATCTATTACAAAAATTGTCAAATACCAGTCCTACTTCAACAATGAGCAGGCAATCAATGAGATCATCGAAAAGATCATTCTTCCCAACATCGCTTTCAGAGAGGTTGACGAGGAGACCTTCGAGGACGAACCAATCTCCTTCGTGAGATCCGATTTGGAAGGATCCGATTTTGACTCCAGGAGAAAATCTTCCACAGATTTCTTGAGGGAGTTGAAGGACGTCAACACAGAGCTCTTGACAGGCACAGTCATGTCATATGTCAACAGATTCTTGTCCCACGATGACTGGAGGAACAGAGATATCGCCATTTACTTATTTACATCATTGGCTGCCAAGGGCTCCGTCACAAACATTGGTGTCACCTCCACAAACATGTTGGTGGATGTCGTGAAATTCTTCACCGATAACATTGCATCATACTTGACTGGTGACGCCACGCCGATTTTGAAAGTCGACGCCATCAAGTATATCATGACCTTCAGAAATCAGTTGACCAAGGAGCAACTCTTGACTACCATCCCTCTTTTGGTTGATCATTTGAAGAACTCCAATGTTGTCGTGTACACTTATGCCGCTATCACAATCGACAAGCTCTTGGCTATGACGAACTTTGCGGACTCCAAGCACACTCCTGTTTTCAACAAGCTGGATATTCAACCTTACGTCAATGACTTGTTGAGCAACCTATTTACCCTCATCCTTTCAAACACAGCACCTGAGAAGCTTTCCGAAAACGAATTCTTGGTTAAAACTGTAATGAAGGTATTGAGTACAGCGGAGGATGTCATTGAGGAGAGTTTCAAGTTGACTATTATTGAGCAGCTCTTGAAGATTTTGGGTATCATCGCCAAAAACCCCGCCAACCCAAGATTCACGCATTACATCTTTGAAAGTTTGGGTCTTTTGATTAAATTCGGTGCAGACAAAGATGACTCCAAAATCAAAAAGTACAGCTCCCTTATCATGCCTTCTTTGCTAGAGATCCTTGGCGAGGACGTGCAAGAATTTGTGCCTTACACATTCCAGATTTTGGCTTTCCTTCTTGAAAACTTCCTGAAGGCATCCCCCATTCCGGATGAGTATAAGACTCTTGTCAAGCCTCTTTTATCTCCTGCTGTCTGGGAATACCGTGGTAATGTTCCCGGTATCACGAGGTTGCTCGTCGCCATCATGGCTCATAATTCCTCCGTCATTGCATCATCCTCCCAAGAATTAGTTCCGTTGCTTGGTGTCTTCCAGAAACTCATTGCCTCAAGAGCAAATGATACATACGGCTTTGATTTGTTGCAAGGAATCTTTTTGTACTTCCCGCTTGATTTGGTCTCCGTCCATTTGAACCAGATCTCGGTACTCCTTTTGACCAGATTGAAGACCTCGAGAACCGAAAAGTATATTAAAAAGTTTGTGATCTTTTTGATGTCCTTGTGCTGCGTGCCATTGAATGATACACTTAACGCAAAGACTCAGAGCCAGATCAACGCAGGCTTTGCCATTAACCTCATAGAATCAGTCCAACAAGGAGTGTTCCAACAGATCACCAACAGTTTTATTTTGCCAACAACTGAGGAATTTGCAAACTTGCAAGACAAGAAGATCGCTGCCTTGGGATTGTCTCAATTGATTGTTTCCGAGCAGTTTACCCAAGGCTCGTGCAAAGCCTTGCTCCAGCCTACGGTTGAACAGCTTTGTAAGAACTTGACACTCTTGTCAGGTATTGCAAAGGGAAATAACGTTGCAGAAAATACTATCACTGGCGGCCCTAACGCCACAAGTGTGGCTATTAATGAGGTTGATCTTGAGAGCGCAGCCTACGGTTCCAACTTTTCCAAGATCATCTCGATTCTGTTGAAGCCGTTCGATCCAGTGCCTCATGTGCAAAACGAGGACTTCAAACAGATTCGCTACATTGCTGTTGCAAACATCAAGCGTATTGGAGAAATGGGTGCATTGAATCAACTCAGCGAGTTCGCTCAAGCTGTAGTGGCTAGCACAAATTGATCATGAACAACTTTTTCTTTATTAAAATTACACGAACAACGAATAGGAAGAAACGTCTAGGAAGAAATGAAAGAGAACCGTCGTAAACCCACTGTAAGTCCCGAGGCTATCAACAGCACGTCACTGTTGCAGCTGCGCGGGAAGTTTTTTTTCGTAAAACAATGTCTAGTGCCCGGGCTCACTGATAAGATTCTGGAAGATCGACTCCCCCACGTCTTTCTGTTCCACAGCGGACTGCTCTGTGGTAGCAGGGGAGGAGTGCTGGGTGTTGGCGGAAGAGCCCGATTCGGAGGTGTCACTTTTCTTTTGAGCGTCTGAGGCGTCCTGCTTGGAGTCGGTGTCGGAGCCTTCCATGCTCTTCATCTTCTCCAATCTCTCCTTTTCGGCAATCTCAGCGGCCGTCAAGAAACGGCCACCCTGTCCACGAGGACGTCTCATAGCGTGCTTATGCCTCGACTCGTGCAAATATGGCTTTCTTGTTCTTGCAATCTTAAGGGTCTCCTCTAACTTGGCTCTGGCAATCCGCCTCTTCAATATTCTGTGATACTGCTTGGCATTGACGTAGAAAGGCTGTTCAGCTGGCTGTTCGACAGGCGGCTGGGGAGGCATATGGGTCTGGGGTAACTGAGAAGGGACCTGTCTCTGAGCTTCAGGGATCACCGGAGCCCCCGAGTTGATGGGCTCTTGCTGGTAGTATTCGTGGTGGGGGGATTCGTTAGAGTCATAAGGGGGATGGGAAGTGCCGTTTTCGGCTTGGTAGTATTGGGGTCTGTCGTGCTGGTCTATCTGGTTGTTGATGATGCCATGTTGGGGAACATGCGAGCTGTAGTATGTCTGGGGGATCTGGTCGGCGTAGTAGGCCCCCGGCTCCTGGTGTAGAGATGTCATTATTTGGCTGTTTGGAATGGCCTGGCTATTGCATAAACAAGGACAACTTGAGCTATGGCCAAAGGTAAGGAAGAGACACTAGCGACTATATACTCCAAAGGAAAAATAGGATTTCGCACGCATCACCGTGTAGAAGCTGTGGTCAGCATGCAGGCCCAGCCCAGCCAGACCTTACCCGAGTCCGAGATCGGTACAGCAGCAAACTGAAGTGATGATGATTTTGTTGGGCTATCTATGATAGTATGGTGATTTAGGTGGATTCGGTCATCTTGTGCTTCTGTTTGTTTTAGCTGACAACGACTCCACTCGTCGCAGAGGCTCATAATCGCTTGTGGCAGTGAAAAATTCACCTAAACTACGATATATACATTTTTTAGCTCGTTTTGTTGCTTCTATCTGCGGTAAATATTATGCTCTCTCATGCTCGCTTGAAGGTATCTCCTAGGTCCATCTGGTGGGCTATGAAGTTTCGAATGAGGTCCTTGTCCACATTCCCATACACCTCCTCTTCCTCCTTGTCCTCCTCCTCCACGCAATCCTGCTGCATGGCGATTCTTTGCAAGAAGTAGTTACTTTTTTTCTCGTTCTTTCTTTCCGCCTCAATCTTGGGCTTACTGATGCGATATTCATGCTGCGGCGTTCCACTGTGCACTGGCTGCGAAATTTGTGGTACCCCGGATTCTGGCACTTGGCTGAAATAATTGGTATAGCTTTCTTCCAAAGTGGGGAGATGTGGGTCCGAGCGCCGTCGAAGGCCTTCTTTCGCTGTATGTGTGTTGGGGGTGCTCAGTATCAATGTAGATGGATCTATAGTCCTCTCTTGCCTCTGCTGAGATGAAATGCTTTGTGGGGCTTCCGGAGCCTCCGGTTTCATCTTCTTGTTTCCAGGATCTGAACCTCGTAGCGTTTTGGCCTTCACTATATGCTCTGGCCATGTGCACTGCAACTCGTTAGTGTGGCAGTTTCGACACTGAGGATACAGCGACTCGTCACATTTCTTCTTGCGCCTTCGGCACGTAAAGCAGCCGTTCCGAGACCGCTTTCGAGACGGCTTATCCATGTCAGCGGGTAGCTTTGGGAGTGGTTTCGAAGTGAAATCTTTTCCTGGTGAAGTATTGCCTAAAGCGGCAAGTGCACACCGCGCTTAATTTTGAAAAAGAGTCAGACCATCCTCCACGGCCGAGTAGACCGAAGATCAGCAGGGAAACGTGAGGGTGTTTACTGAAGAGACTATGAAGGGTTCGTGGGATTTTTCATTTTGGGTGAAAACTGTGGATTCTATTGTGAAATTGTGGATGGCTGCGAAATCTTCTCAGTGATGTGGGAAGATCGTCACGCTACAATGAAGCAAAGGTAGGATTAATAAGAAGCTTTGGATTACCACGGCCCATTCATAATACTTGTTTGGATTCGAGCAAGATTATTCAAATCTTACCTGGGTTAACTTAGTAGTTCCGGTGCTAGACAACTTCATGGAGTCGCCCATCGCTGTGGTACGCATAAATACTCAAACATCTTCGTAGAGATAGTAAATAAGCTGCAAAAATGGTCTTTCTTTATTTTCGTAACGCCCAAAATCTTCCTTATCGCTTAACACAAATCGGACCCTTTGGTCTCAGAACCTCACCCAAAATCGCGCCTAACAATTTCTAGCTACCAGATCACCAATTACCATGGACAGGAGAAAAGGGCTGACGACGTCCATAACGTCGCAAGCTTCATCCACAATGCTGAACTCCAGCGTACCTACTACGCAAAAATTGATCGAATTCTCCGTGGATGACGTTTTCGCCCGTTACACGGTGCCTCAAGTCCAGAAACTTCATAAAGACTACCATCAAGACATAACCAAGGCCAAAGATGAGCTTCACTTATTGGTGGGTGGCAAGTACAGAGACTTGATAAGGATTGCCGAAGAAATTGACACCATGAGCTCAACGGCGTACAAATTGGACAATACCTTGGCTGATTTGTCTTTCAAGTCTTCCAACTACATCACATTTGGCAACAACAAGTTCTCCAAGTTTGACTCCGTTGTCAGGAAAGAGAACGTCCAGAAAGCTCGCCAGGCTTCTCAAATGACTATCTTAAACAATGTGATCAACAACGAACTTATTGGCTATGATTTGAAACTCCAGACAGACTCGCTCAGAAGAACCCAATACTTGGTCCACTTGGCTAAGATATACTACACAATTGAGAAGCTCTTTGCTGACATCATTCCTTCAAATGACCACAAGGCCACAAGCTATAAGAAGCTCAAAGAAAACTTTGTCTCGTACCTTGAGAGAAAGCTAGCCCGCTACACATTCACAGGGGACTCTTTGAGCAATACAAGTGGCCTTCGTAACGTGGATGATATAATACAGAAGACCCAGAAGAGTCAATGGCTCGAAGATGAGACATTCGATTTCCTCAGTGAAGAGCAAGATGACGAATTCTATCAGTACTCAGACCTGGACTCCAAGACAGATTCAATTACGAACGCTTCCAGTGTTCCAATCGTTAACTACATCCTTGCATACATCATCGTCAACCATGACGGGGAGGCCACCAACTCATTACTGTCAATCACTTCGAAGATAATCGATCTTAGAACCGCTCATTTACAATCACTCGCCAAGGACGCCTCTAAGAACCCACAGGTCTCCAACACAAACTTCTACAAGCTCTTTCGCTTCATTGAATCCACTGCAGTGTGCGTAAATGAATATCTCGCAAATGATGGAGAGCTTAAGACAAGGCTCAAGACGTTGAAAGCATGGAAGGCATCGCAATTGATTGGATTTCATAGCTGGTTTGAGGTCGACGACATCAGATTTGACATCAATATGGAGCTGTCTGGATCACTGAACTTTGAAGAGTCACTTCTGACCTACTACAACAACAGCGGTCTCCTTCTTCAGAACTTCATCCGCGATTTGTATCAAGCTTCAACCTCAAGCGAAACCGCTGCCTCAACAAAGGTTATACTCTCCGTGCTCTATAACTTTTTGTCCGGAGCCAGCAAATTGCAGGCCTTGGCAAATTACGAAGAAAGCAAATGCTACACCTCCGAGAGTGTTTTTACAGAGAAACTCATCTCAAGTATCATCACATCAGCATTTGAGCATGTCGAAAAAGCATCACAATCACATTTGCATAACCTCACCGAAGGTGATTCCTCCGTTTTACTGTCGTTGAACAGCCTGATTCGAGAAACAAACCTTGACTCCTGTCACGATAATGATTTCTTCTCAAATGAAATAATAAGCTCGATGGAGGAGGATATAGAGACTTACTTGGGAAACGTTCTGCGTCTTGCATCATTGACTTCAACAAAATCTGAGCACAGCCTCTCATCATGGTTACTGGCAATGCGGTCAATTCTCCTAGAGACCAAAAGTCACGGAGATAACACCATTAAGAAAATTGAAAATGTTCTCAACCGGGCGAGCGAAGGCTCTTCCATAAAGAGGGAAGCATCTACTTTCTCAAATAAACTTGATGGGATCTACCAGTCAATCATCAAAGATCTTGGAGTCCAGTTGGATGTCTTTGTCAGTGGACTTGCAGGAGAGCTTGCTAGTGACGGAAACGAGGAAAAGGATATCGTTTTTGGTGTTCTCAGCTATATCCTTGAGGTGAAACAATTTATTCAGAAAACTCTCAAGAGTGATTCAAAATCAATCGTCAAGAAGATTGACGATCTTTTGCACGAACTTTACGACCATATATTGAAATCTGCTCTCAACTCCAGAATTGGAGACAAGACTGTTGAGGAGAGCCTTGCTGCCACCATACGGCCACCATCGACAATCCAAGACACCGACTTGTCTAGAAGGGCAGACACCCCAGTCCATTCAATCTTGTTTGGTCTTGTGGAGGAGCTTCTCGATCTGGATCGCTTTGAGCAGCAAAGAGTGATATCATTTTTCACGAACAAGGACACTGCTGAATTATTTTCATCACAAAAGAAGAAGCACATTTTACGAATTGTTGACGAAGTACTCACCGCTCCACAACCCAACTCAGATAGTGATGAGAACGGCATTGGAAAGATCCCAACTGCACAAGCTGAGCAGCTTCTTGCCAATATACTTTTCGTGCTTAACTTCACGCAGACCCTGACTATCAAGTCCAATGATGAAACCCTCCAACCTTACTTGCACAAAGTCAATGGTGTCGCAGAGCTGAACATTGAGCTCTCAGTAGTTGAAAGCATTGCAAGAGGAGTGAGTGAACAATACAAAGCTACAAAAGACATATTCCTCCCGTTGCTGGCGTTTTAATGTCTATAGATACTAATACAAATAAATTTTTGCCCCTGCATCAGCCATCTCCTTGAGCACCTGAGTGGTTTCCTGAATGTGCCATATATTCTGGAGCTTTTGGTCAAGGTAAGAGTTATCAACGAGAACAATCTTGACTTCTTCTTTCTTCAATCCCAGCTCCTCAGCACTAAGCACCTTTGCAAGTCTACCTGGCGTACAGCAAAGAACACGGGACCAGGTGGTGGAAACGAGTTTGAGGTCAACATGTAGCTTGTTCTTGTTAATGAGCTTGAGCGAAGAGCCTGGAATGTCTCGAAGAGCACGATGGACATCACATGCTCTGATGGCGGACATCGACATGATTGCAATGAACTTTCTTTCTTGGTTGGTATCCCCTTCCTCGGTTTCTTTGGCGCCCTTGGACTGTTTGTTCTTCTTGTTTTTGGTGTTCTTCTTTCCTGGTGTAGTTGAAGGAAGCATGTTACCAAATCTGTTGTCGATGAACTTGGACAAGTTGTCAAGTGTACGAGGCTCATCGAACTCGGATGACGATCTGAAGTCTGCTTTCTTGAGGTAAAGCTCAGACAACTCCAAGGCCGAGAGTTCTGTGTTCCTCTTACGGATCACGTCGTTCACATAGTCGCAAATGACTTCAGGTGAAGACTCAGTAGAGAGTTTCTTCTTCTTTTCAATGTCCATATCCATCTTGAGCTTCTTCTTCTCCTGCAATTTAGGGTTCTTGGTTCTCTTCTTGGAGTTCTCTTTTGGTGAAGTCTCATCGTCAGAACCGTCCTCAGCCACTTCAGCAGTTTCAACCTGAGGGACAGTCTCTGTGTCAGAGAAGTCAACCTCGTATTCTAGTCCGTCATCTAGTTCATCACCTGCCATTGTGTATGCTCTTTTCTGTGTATCTGAGATGAGCTTATCAGATCTACAAAAGGTCTGCGCGAAATGAGATGAGTATAGTACCAAGCATGTTATCTCGAACGGCACGTCTAATAGTGCCTAAAAGGGGCATATCGTTAAATGCTGAGCTTTCTAGGAAATTGGAAAGTGCTCAGCACCACCCTGTTATTGTGGTTGGTGGCGGTCATGCTGGATGTGAAGCTGCTACTGGATCAGCTCGTGCTGGAACGCCCACCACATTAATAACTCCACAAATCAGCAAAATAGGCACAGCCTCATGTAACCCGTCTATGGGTGGAATCGGAAAAGGCACTTTGCTTCGAGAGGTCGACGCTCTCGATGGTGTGGCACCAAAAGTCACGGATAAGTCAGGTATCCACTTTACGGTCTTGAATGCCTCCAAGGGCGCTGCAGTTCAAGGGCCAAGGGCACAAATCGACCGAGACATTTATCTCAAGGAGATGCAGAAGGTGATCTTGAACTACAAAAACTTGAGTGTTTTGGAAGGCTCAGTGGAAGATATCATCATCGCTCCATCCGCTCAGAGTAACGATTTTCAGGGCAGAACGTATGGAACGGTCAGGGGAGTTTGTCTTAATGATGGAAGAGTGTTACGTTGCGACAATATTGTTATTACAACGGGAACTTTTCTCGGGGGAGAAATTCACATTGGCATGGAGCTGTATCCATCAGGAAGAATGGGAGAAGATGCAACTTTTGGCTTATCCAAGACTTTGAGAGAAGCTGGATTCAACCTAGGAAGATTGAAGACAGGAACACCCCCAAGACTCTCATCTAAGACGATTGACTACACCAACTTATTGCCTCAGAAGTCAGATTATCCTCCACAGCCAATGTCTTTCATGACAAACGAAGTCGCTCTCCAAGACCAGCTTGTCCAGTGTCACCAAACATTCACAAATGAAGCGTTTCATGAACTTGTGGCCAAGAACCTTGATAAGACAATCCACATCAGGGAGACCGTCAAGGGCCCCCGCTACTGCCCTTCCATCGAATCGAAAATTATCAGATTCCCTCAGAAAACCTCACACGTCGTCTGGCTTGAGCCAGAAGGCTTAGATACCGACATTGTATACCCTAACGGTATTTCATGTACATTGCCTGCGGACCTTCAAGAACAGATGGTCAGGTTATTACCAGGCTGCTCCAACGTCACCATGACCCAACCAGGTTACGGCGTTGAGTATGACTATGTCGATCCCAGAGAGTTGAAGAGGACATTAGAAACAAAGTTAGTGAATGGGTTGTACCTTGCGGGACAGATCAACGGTACTACTGGGTATGAAGAGGCTGCTGCCCAAGGCTGTGTTGCTGGTATCAACGCTGGTCTTGCTCTGGCAAACAAGCCTCCTTTGGAACTCTTCAGATCTGATGGCTACACTGGTGTGGTTATTGACGATTTGATCACCAAAGGCGTTGAGGAGCCATACAGAATGTTCACATCTCGTTCAGAGTTCCGTTTCACAATGCGTGCTGACAATGCTGATCAAAGACTTACCGAAAAGGGCTATCACGCTGGTGTCGTTGGCGAGGAAAGATACAACCATTTCAAGAAGGAGATCGGTCAGTTCAACAACATTAGGTCTTTCTTGAAAGATATCGACTTGTCTGGTGCTCGTTGGACACCAGTGCTCGGCGAACTCGCAGACAAAGTCAACAAGAAGACAGTGGTAGATGGCTGGAAGCTTTTATCTTACCACGACATCACCCTTGATGTGATTCTTCCACGTCTTTACAAGGTCCTTCTTGATAAGGAGCTTCCGCAAGATTTTTACGACTTGTCAAGATGGCAGAAACAAAGGATTGATGTCGAAAGTCGATATGAGCCGTGGCTCAAGCGGGAAGAGCGTCATATCCGTGCATTTGAAGCAGATGAGAATTTGCTTCTTCCAGAAAATTATTTATACACCAACACCGGCAAGCTCAAGCTTTCAAATGAAGCGTGTCTGATGTTGAATACGGTGCAACCAAAAACAATTGGTCAGGCTAGGAGGATACAGGGTGTTACACCGGCGGCAATTTTTGAACTTTATAAATTAGTGCACCAGAAGCAGGCTCGTTTGAATAAGGAGAGTACAGCCGCTTCGGAAGTGCAAGTGTAAATAGAACTAAGATTAATTAATAGTCGTCATCATTGTCATCAAGCGAGACCTCTGTTTCAGAGTGAGATTCCAGTTTTTGGGCTCCACTGAAGGAAACAGATTCTCGTGTAAAGTTGTCATCATTGTCCGCACCAACTTCGACGATATTCGTTCGCTTGAGTTTCTTGATAGTAGATTGCTGCAAGCTGTTGTCTAACGATACGAGAGTCTCCAATGGGAAAAGGTCATGAGCAAGTTTGGCTACCCGTTTCATCTCGGACGTGGAAGATGTGGGCATCTTGACTCGGTTAAGATATAGTACAGCGTCTTGAATAGAAATTTTGTCAGATCCTCGATGTTCTGCGTAGGCTTTTAAAGTTGACATGGTTTGCTGAAGAAAGTCATTTGAACTTCTGAGCACCACCTGCAATAGAGCAGGCGAGATCCGGTTCAACTTGGATTTCTTCTTCGCAGGCCCTGATGCACCAGGCAAATGATTGACTGTATTCACCATGCCCTTCAACAAATATTTAGGAATAGGCAAATTGCTGGACGAGCGCACGCGTTTCTTGCCACTTCCGACAGTGATTCGCCGAGTCGTCGACGGTTGTGGTGGTATATTTTCCGAATTAAGTTCATCGTCAGTGAGTGAGAGTCCAGGCTGGAGTTGAAGGGCTGGGTTAGTGTCTATATCATCATTGTCAATTGTGAAGTGTCCCAGGATAAGCCCTTGATCGGAAGAGGGATGCTGAGGGAGATCATCAAGATCGTCCTGAAAGTTCATGTCTTGTGGGGAATCGATCTTCTCGGGAATCACCAGCATAGATTCAAGCTGAGATGCATCGAAGCGGTTGGCATCATCGTATTCGTAGGATTCGTATTCGGGTGTCTTTTGCAAGTCTAACGAAGGACGGTGCGTTCTTCTTGGCATTGTAAGTTCAGGCGCTCTATATTCACCTTCGCTAGACTCTTCGGAGTCGGAGTGGATAGCATTGTCGTTTACGGCAAGCGGCTCGGCCAACCTGATGTTTAACTCGTTTGGAGACTGTTGATTGTCAGTGAACTCCGGTAGCCCCTGGATAGTATTTTCAATGACAAACTTGGATGTGGAAATTATATCGTTGACGCCTCGGATGTCCTCGACTTCGCTTGGGGTTTCATGTTCAAACATCGATGACCGCTTTCTGCTTTCCAAGATGCGTTCGAGGTATGATTTGAAGGCGGGTTTGTTCGCCTTTGATGTATCCTTCGGGGTTGCAACAGGAGAGGCGCTTTGTGCTACCGTCAGTGGAGGCGACTTCATGGCATCGTCCGACGGTAGAGGCAAGGAGTAGTCAAACTCGCTATAATGGGCATGGTCTTGAGGGCTGAGCGAATGAAGACGATGTTCGTGGTCGAGCGCCTGAAACACCTTCTCACTTTCATACTCGGGTGACGGGTTCTGCTGGTCATGTATTAGTGCTCGGGAGAAGGTTCGGAGGAAGTCTTTGGTGATGGGCCCATGGTACCCAGAAACGTATGTGGCGCCGGTAGAGGAGCGTCTTCTTCTCCTGACCGTGAGGTGGTCACTCAAACGACGCGGCTGAGGCGTCGATAGCACAGACTCGTGTCTGGACTGAGGACCCAGTGAAGGTCTAGACAGCTGAAGCAGTGATGGTTTAGTGGATTTGGCAGATTTCTGGAAATACGTCGGCGGGCGTCCAAGCACCAGGGTAAGGTCGTCAGGCGGTAGAGCCACGAAACTAAGTCTAGAGCGGGAGCTCAGTGGAACCAGCAAGGATGTGTTTGTGGGAGGTCTGGTTCGTAGGGGAGTGGAAGGTTCGGTACGAGCATGCTGCTGCTCCCTGGGCGGCGGCAGAGGCATTGTGTGGAAGGAAAAGTGGCACTGGGGCGGTACTTAAAGGCTTGGGTTCGGAACAAGGGAATTAGAGTATGTGGTTGGAACGCATATGTGATGAGACAGTATGTTTTGATTAGGGCAACGACGTGCAGTGCTGTTGATGTCTCACTCGCATGGCGCATGGATACGAGAATGCCAGGGATCAGATCAAGCTTTTTGCGGTAAACTTTATTATTTTCGGCCTACGGCGATATTTTTTGCATCCTTACCCCTGATTTAAATTCTCGAGTGCTTAATCAGTTCGTTTTAGTTTGGAACTTGGCTAGTCTGATGTCGTAGTCTGGGGTGTGTTGTGTACATGGACATCGGTTAGTCCGGAAGCCCCTTGGTATGGGCGTCAAATCCACAATTACAGAAAGCTAAAAAATTCCTCGAGCCAGTGGGGAACATTCGTAACCCTGTAGGCCTAGGTCAGTGCAAGTAGCCATTGTGCCACCAAGCGAGATTTACGCCCACCAAGCCTCTGCAAATCAGGAAATGATGCCATGAGGTGTGGCTGCTGTGAAACGGAGTTTCTGGGCCTACTGATAATGTGTAGCGAATGATTGTATTTTTACTCACGGAATTGTCGGACTTCTCTGATACTCGTGTTATCAAAGAACAGAATATATCCAGCTGCGGACCAAAATCACGGAATGTAAAGCCTCAGGGACTACCAGGAGTATTTGATGTACGGTGTCCTTCAGCAAGCCACAGATTTTCACTCTGGTGTCTGCCGAATCGGCTGTGCCAGAGCTGTCGGAAATGGTTGCAAAATTCATGCATCTCGACGACTATCCCACGAACCTTCCCATCCTTCCTTATAGTGGTTCTTCTTGTAAGCACTGCAAATAAACGCCAGCCAAATAGACTTTGTCAAGGGCATAGCTCTGGGACGGTCCACTCTCCCGTTGTTGAGATTATAGAAACGATCTCTCTTATCGCAACTCCTATTCCTCCGTGGCGCCAGCTTCAATGCCTCGTAGTGGCCTCGCTGATCACATTCCCTCCTTCTTGCCTCTCTCTGCTTATTATTCAAAGTCTGGAATCTATCTCTCTTATCGCAGCTTCTTTTCCGCGGTGGGGGGAGTCCAGTGTCCCTCTTAACGCCGTAGGTCTTCTCAGCCATGGTTCATGGGCGTTGTGGTACTTCCAGCAGTGCAATCAAGCCATTTATAAGCTTCACCCTCTTGGCTTCACTATTCTCGTCCATCAGTTTGTGCGACCTTATTTGCCTAGAGACACAATGGGCTTGTCGTCTCGGTATCAATTCTTGGCGATTGCACTAAGAGGTTTTCGGTTCTTTTCAGGCTTCTAGAGGCTTGGGACATGGGGCTTCGGACCTGGAGTATTCTACAAAATATTCGGGTGGCTTGAACTCTTTTTTATTTTTTTCGTGTTCCTTGCCCTTCTTCGCTATCTTCCGATTATGGACTCCACCGTAAATGCACCTCTGCGGAGAGTTTGTCACATATCCGCGATATGGCCATATACTTGCCTCGAATTTCTTGACCGTACCTCTTCCAAATTAGCTCAGTACGGTCAAACCCACCTTTTCTTGGTGATTGTCAAAAGTTTGCAATTTTTCACCATGATCGATCTCTTCGGGTGCTTCGCTATCTAGTACTAGGCGCACCAAGACACCGCGATTGCTACTAAATCGCAATAATCAACTCTTCAGAAACTACAAATGGAAGCGCCATCTCATGGAGACAGCCTCTTGACGGCCTTGGTTGCCGGCTGCTCCTCTGCTGCATTTGCTGCATTTGCTACCTTCCCGCTTGATTTTATCAAGACCATGCATCAATTGGATAACACTCCCCAGTTAAACAAATTCAATGCTCCAGGCTTTCAACCGTCCTCGATTGTCCAGATCATGAAGGGTAGCAGTGCTCTTGTCACTGGTAATGTTCTCAAGAACTTCACCCGCCTTTTATCGTATAACTGGGCCTCCAACTTCATGGCGATGGATACAAGAAACGATACAAAAAAGACCAGTGCTCCAAGAGTGGTGATTGCTGGTGCCATGAGTGCTACCATGGAAACCGTGTTAATCATTCCAACTGAAAGAGTCAAAATCACGATGATCCAAAATCAAATCTTGGCCAATGAGAAGGCCCTCTTTCCTGATCAGTCAATTGATATCACAGGCATCGATAAGCACCACAAGCTGGTTCAGAGCATTTTTTCTAGACAGTATGTTTCGCCACATGCCTACTATACTAGTGGGTTAGTGTCGCAGCTCAAGTCAGGAAAGTCTGGCCAGAAGTTCCTGTCCACCCACCACCTCAAACCCTCGGCGACAGATGCTCTCAAGATGGAGTTTAACAAGACCCCTGCATTGACTCTTCTCGGGACTATTCGTCAAATGTACGCCCTTCAAGGCGTCAGGGGCTTCTTCACGGGTTCATTCATCACATTTGCACGCCAGATGGGCTCCTCGGCCGCCTGGTTCTCCACATATAACGCTACTAGACAGTTGGTTGACCCACACAACAAACCAGATGAACAGAATTGGTTCAGATTCCAGCATTCGGCATGGCAGCTGATTGGTCTTCACTGTATCTCGGCAGCTGCTGTCATTGCTCTTACCCAACCACTTGATGTGGTGAAGACGAACATTCAATCTAAAAACGGCAGCATGTTATTCAAGGACTCGCTCTCTACAGCCTACAAGTTAGTACTCAAGAAGGGCTTCAAATGTTTGTTTTCTGGTGCCGTGCCTCGTGGTATTAAGATTGGTATCAACGGAAGCATCACAGCATTCTTCTACGGCTGGATTGACAATGGTATCAACACCCTTGCTACCAAAACCGTCTTCACTGATTAGTTCATGCATTTTCGATATAGACAGGCAATAAAAGCTCGCCGCTCTTGTGCTTTACGGCGTTGAAGCTCTTTGCCAATAGAGACCCAGCAGAGCTTGGCTGGCTGAAGGCGACCTGGCGGGGGTTGAGTTGAAGCCCATGTATCAGGTAGTCGCATACTGCCTGTAACAAGTGCTTTCCAAGCCCAAACCGGCGCCATTTCGGGGCAATCCAGATTCTGGATATCCCAAGAATGATATTTTTATTGACTTGACGCGGTACGATCTCCTGTGTTTGGTAG